ATATATCCTTTATTTTTTCCAATAGATAATAATCGAAAAGATAATACCTAAAGATCAATTAAAAAAACATAATTTAAAAATAATCAATGTAAAAAATATATATATATAAAAGTGTAAATTAAAAAAATATAAAAACTATATAATCAAAATATCAATAAATAGAAATCAGAAAAACACAAATATAAGAAAATATTGAATTTAGAAATTCAGAATATCTTATTAAAGGCCATTAGATAAATAATATTCAATAGATAATAAATAATCCAATCCATTCATTTTCGATTATTCATGATAATCTATATAAACGATCAAGAACGTACCAATATAAATCAACAAAATAATTTAATAAATACCAAATCAATAATTAATATATATATACCTAATAAATCAATAATACATTTAAACAATACAAAATTTAAATAACTCATTTCTATATTAAAACTAATATTATTAAAAAATAAATTTTAGGAAAATATATAAATAAATATATACAAAATAAATCCATAATAAAGAAATTTAGAAACAATATTTTTTCATTTCATTTCATCTGCCGGCAACCGTGCTGGTTGCCCGTGTTGGGCCGCAGCTGGAATTTTCCAGGCCGGACACTTCCGGAGTGTCGAAGGCACCAGGTTCGAACAGGCGTGCTTATGCAAAGCGATCGTTGAGCAATTCATCAAAACTCTTTGGCTTCATAGGCAAAGGACGTTTCCACTGTTGGCTTGTGCATGACTTCGGGATGATCCAAATGAGGTAGATAGTGGAAGCAATTTCAGGGTCGACCCCCAAAGGAAGGGCAGAACGGAAGTCATCACAAGACTTGACGGTGCCACTGTGCCAAAGAATGCTACGATAATGGCCTTCAGCGGGGGTTGCACCCAGGTGGATGACCCCCGCTGTCACAACAAAATCATGCCACTCCACATGGATGCCTCGGCGATCACGGAAGATCGGAATCTGCACGGGCAGGCATCTATCCCACAGAACCGAACAACGGCTTTTCTGTCCAAGGAAGGGAAACCGAGACACCTGAATGCAGATCCAAGGTGAGTCACATGTGAAGGCATGGACAAAAGGCTCTTGATGATGCCAGTTGGTGATCATCTGCTGAAGAGTAATGAAACCTTCAACTGGACATGCCATGGGAACAGGAGCGAACACATCTGCTTGATCTTCTGTGGAACTAAGCAACCGAGAGCTCCAACCCTGCTACATATATTGTGGGAGCGTTTTTTCCAGCAGCCGTTGTCGAAACCATCCTGCAAATTCACCAGCATCATGCTAATCACGACTAAGATGGTCCCGAAACCAGTCCACAAGCATGCGGCCTAGGAACTGGTCTGCACATGGGTCCACAACTACCCCTGCATACTCAACGAACATGCTCAAAAATTAGAAACAATATATAAATATAAAAATATTTATCAATAATATAATATAATTAATACAATATTATTGCCTTTGATTATGAAAAATATATTTTTAAATCAATATTAAAACCAAAATATATAATATTCAACAAAAAAATGAAAATTTGTCATATAACCTTAATAGACGCACATGTTTTTTTAAAAAAAAATAATTTTATATTAAAATAAACCAACCTAATCTATTTATTATAGAAAAATATAAATTTGAGGTCGAGAATAAAGTTTCGTTCATAAAATAAAACGTGGTAAAAATGTAAAGTATACGACTAACACTTAAAGTAAAATAGATGTCATAAAAAAATAAACAAAAAAAATCAAAGGCATTTCAAACGGCGGAGAAAAATATCTCCCTACATTTAAAATTTTTGCGTAATACGACGATTTCGGGCGTTCCGGCCCTTCAATTGCCAAAATAAATACAATTCCATCCAATTAACTACCTAATTTTCGTAAGAAAAAAACAATTAATATTATTTAAATAATTATATATTAAATATATAATAAATTTCAAACAAAATATTACGACCTCATAATAACCCCCAAAATCCAAATCATTAATTACAATATATTATTTTCCAAAATATAATAAAAACATATTTTAAATAAAAATGCAATATTAGAATAATATAATATACATTTTACTTCGAAAATGGTAATATTCGCATTAAAAAATAATAATATATTAATAGGAATATATTTAATTATAAAAAAGCTTAGTTTATATATATGTAATATAAAATCAATATTTTATTCAAATTTAAATATTAATTTTTAAATTAAATTAAAATATAGTTCATTTATTATAATTGTTTTTATTATAACGATAATAAATATTATTATTATTATTATTATAACGACGATTATTATTTTTTCTCTTTATTTTATTATTATTACAATTATTACCATTATTAATCGTCGTATATTTCCTTTTATATTTAAAATATCTATCGTATTATAAAAATAATATATAATATAATTAAATTCAAAACGTAAAAAACGATAATATACTTATTAAATATAAATGTATAAAGCCCATATAATAATTAAATAATATCGTTCACATATTTTATTTTTTTGCTTTATAAATATATAATAAAATTAAAAGAAAAATTATATTAAAAAAAAATATTTATTAATAATAGAGATTTTATTTTATGTTTTTTTTTCATAAATAAATAAAATTCCTTATATAATATTTTAATCGTTAAACCATAAAAACAAAATAACAATAAAAAACTATATAATACGTTATACAAAATATAACAATCATTAAATCTTAAAACCAAATTAAATATACATAATTTCAAAACAACTATAAATATTAAAAAAATACTTTTTTTTTCAATATTTCAATTAAAAATTCTATTTTCTAAATCTACAAAAATTCAATACAAATAACAAAATAACACTATTAAATACACAAAACTATATAAATATCCAAAAAATATTAATCTAAATCTATAAATAGAATCAATATATGCGAGCAGATATTTGATCTCGAAAAGGGGTCTGCGATTCGGTCAAACTTAAATGGCTTATATTTGCCACTCCTCCTTTGGCATCTAAGCAATTTTACTTGTATAACAACTCTTTCAGAAAGGCAAGTCTACTGAACCCATGAAGGGATAGCGTTTATCTATCATAGCGTAAATTTCGAGCTTACGTTCGTGATCCCCTTCATGGTCAACCTTCTGCCATTCACCCTGCAACTTCAAAATGTGTTGGGTTGCTCGTAAACCTAAGTGCGCGGCTGCTGAATCATAGTCCACCAGTGATCCAGGAGTTTGTTGCCTGCTTAATAGCGCGATCTTCGATCCTGTGCGCTAGCAAATCTTCTTCCGCCCATTCTACTTCTCCTTGACCCTCGCTCACCTCCATAAGAACATTTGGCCCCTCGTCTTCGCTCTCCGGCTCACGAAGTTCCATATAAGATAACGACACCTAATGATTTCCCCGCTATCCAGATTTATCACCATCTATTCATCCTCCATGTCTTCGTCCTCTGTTTGCCGATAGGGCCTCAAATCTATAGACCCCTCAGTTTGCTGTTCATTCTCCTGTTTATAGGCCTTAATCTGGGCGTGGATTCCCCTGTTTCTGAGTAGTCGACGATAGATTGGAGTTGTTGATGGGCGAACGAAACGAGTATAGGGGGTGTATGGGGGGGCCGATTGTAAAGTATATTTGGCTGGGTATGGTGAATTTAACATTTGGCGGGGAGAATTTGGAAAAGAAGCCGCCCGAAAAGTGGTTAACTGTACATTTTAAACGGCTTACGCTTGACAGCCGGGTGTCGGCCGGGGCAGGGAGGAAAGAAAAGGAAGGAAACGGAGAAGAAAAAGAAGAAGTAAAGAACTAGTATTAAAAGAACAAAATGCTAACTTTAGAAAAGAACAAAATGCTAACTTTAGAATGCCATTCGGGTAGTATATCTTGCGCTACAGGCCTTCGAAAACGACCTTGTATCTACATCAAAACTTAAAAGCGGATAGCCAAACAAAATTATGGACTACAGTGACTTCAGTCGAAGGTTAGTAGCTTGGCGGCAGGGGCCGCGACCGTTAGTTCCTTTAACCACCGAAGGCCTCCGGCAAGGATACGGGGCTGGGCCGGCTGACGCCCTTTAGCGGGCTAGCAGGCCCACCGTTAGAGGGTGCGTGGTGTTGTTGTTGGTGTCGTGGTTGTTGTCGCGGTCGTTGGTGTTGTTGTAATTGCGGACGTTGTTGTAGTAGTAGAAATAGAGGGAGTAGTAATATTTGTTGTTGCCATTGTGGTGTGCTATGGGGAGTACTCCCCTGTATTTATATTGGTTTATCGAAGCATATGATATACAAATTCTTCTGCGAGCGTCACTTACGAGGATTTAGACGGGGGATTGAGTGTGGTCGGCGGCTAGGGCGTGCAACCGCTGGTTATGAACGGCGGGACCTCTATCACAACCTATACAATTGTAATCTGCGAAATTATCGTGGAATTCTTGAGTCAATCTCTTCTCGAGCGGGACCTTGCGGAAGAGAAACAAAAAGAAATTACCAGAACGACAACATCCCCCCGACCCGTCCCCAGTCCTGTCCGTTTTTCTTGCTTCTTCCGGCTTGCAATTCTAGTCGTCGCTGTCAGCTGACTGATGGCGCTCGATTACGCGCAACTGGGTGGGCTCCAAATGTTTAGTTAGGCTGTTCGATCAGTAAGGTCCAAAGATTCTCAGCAGGAACAGGGCCTTAATTGTTTCTTTTCGGAACAATCAGCGCCAACTCGGTTCGCGAAATTTGGAGCAGAAAAGCCAGATTCCGTAATTGGGCCGCGAAAGTTTTTTGGAGCAGCGCAGTCAGTGACAAGATACTCTAGCCTAACCGGGGCCGCGTATCCTTTTTTGCAGGGGGCAAAAACGAACAACCTCTTCCCCTCATACCGGCGGGTGCCTGGCTGTCAGGCGTAAGCCCTTAAAAGTAAGACTGTTGCCTAGTAAGTTTGTCAATATCAAAAGATTGTCGACCAACATTATTTGCTAAAGTTGAAAGTCTTACTCAATTACATAATACAAAATATTCAAAAAGCAAGTATTTTGCATCAGCTGCGGCTGCGAGAGCGTATGCCCTCTCGGCCTGGTCAAGTTCATCTCTGTGCTATGCTTGGAACATTTTACTGTTCCATCTCTTAGCACGTTCACTGAGTGTGAGTGATTTGCAACCAAACTTTCACTGTGATTTGAAAACGATTTAATTTTGCGCTTTAAAATTTAAAACTGCGGCGCGTGAGCACAATGGCATTTGTAGTGGAGAAGGCCTTCCGCGGCTCCTTGTTGCTTGGGCCGGCGCTTAAGCCCTTGACACTAAGGGCGCATGTAGCTATGGGTGCAAGGGGTTGGGAAGAAGTGAGTCTTGGCACATTGTTACAATCTTCAGAAATGATCTATGTACAGACGTTTTTTGTCCGTCAAGTTCCCCTTGGAGATGTGTTTTCTCAATCAGGCCCAGAACAGCCATACAATGATTCAGGATTCCTTCGTATCCATATGTTCTGGTTCCCGTGATAAACTAGGATACCTTCGCGGCGCCTTCGCACACTCAGGTGCAAAGTTGTTGGCGCACAGAATTTTAGAAATCTTCCTCCAGGAACTGAAGAAAAGACGGCCTTCGACGGATCTTTGGCGCAATTTACGTGCGCGAGTGCAACTTTGAGAACAGGTGCGCGAAGCATACCACAGCGCAGCAGGCTGTCTCCGAAAACATAAGGTATGGCCAGCGTCCAAAAGGCTTTGCTTCGACAAGCCTCCATTCACACGCGCGCAACTAAGTAGAGGCTTATTATACTGGTGCGCGACCGCAGCATCAGCCGCACCGCGCAGGTCATTGGCGCAGAAGAACTTCACCAAGCTTCTATATACGCATAGGAAAGAACGGGGCGTTCGAAGCGCACCCTTGGCAAAAACGACTGGCGCTCGCAAACCAGCTCTCCGACCACGACTGTTAAATTCATAGAAAACCGGGAAGCCTTGAAACAATCTTTGACAATCAACTGTGGCAGCCACAGATAGTCCTGCCCCGGGCATCCTTTCATTTTCTGGTAACACCTTCAAAACGATCTAAGCTTGATCTGTCCAATGATGGCCGCATAACCACAGAAGGCCAGAGGCTGCAAAAACGACAGCAACAAGAATCTCTAGACTTGGGCAAGTACGGTGTCTCAAAATAATGCGTGTTCTGCTACTGGCTTTCTTCAAGGGCGCCAGATTCCGAGAGATGGAGAAGGTCCAGTGCAATAGACGCGCTTGTTCTCATGCTCTCCCAGGCTTGTTGAACAAGGCTTCATAGGTGGCCGTACAAGGCTGCGCCAGCGCTTTCCCCTCGTTGTGGGCAAATTCTTTTGGCGGCGCGCTAGGCCCACCGCTTGTAGTGGCACTGACGTAGCGCTGGTATTGCTTTTGGCTCTCGGCTTGAGAATTTGCGTGCTTTGTGTTGTTGGCGCGCGCCTTGTGACTATTACATTGGCGTCGCCAGCGCTGTGTGCGAGAGGCAGCGTTATGGCGCCAGCGTCGGGAGCCAACGCTTGAGCTGCCCTGATCCGTGCTTGTGCTGAGTCAAGCGTGGCCACCTTGGCGAAACATTTCTTGGTTTGCCGCATCAGGGCCATGGAATGCCTTCAAATCAGCACGCGTAGGCCGAGCACTGGTAGACGCGGCGCTCGAGCGTTGTATTCATACAGCTGACGCCTTTCTTTCCCTTGGCTGGTCTCTTCGCTGGCTTTGGCGCGAAGCATTTCAATCAGCCCTATAACTGCAGAATGCACAGCGCGCGCGCCCTGCAACATTTACTCTTGTTCTGCGCACAAAGCTAGAACGGACCAAGCGAGAAGCCAACGATCAGTGTCCAAGGTGCAGCGCAAGGTGTGAAGTGCAAAACATGAAGACAAAGAGACCAGAAACGCAACAAAATCACACACAAGAGACAGCGCGACGCACCAATGAATGGAGAGTCTCAAGGGAAAAAAAGTTGCGGCGCTCGTCGCACGTGGGCGATACTCCAAAAATGAATAAGAACCATCTATACCGACAACAAGCGAAAATACACCTTCCGCGCTTCGGCCCTCTGAAGCCCGCCCGTACTGGAACGGTTCATTCGGTTGCAGATATCAACCACAGGCGCCTGAAGGCGTATTTGCAGCTACTGAAAAGCATCTGTACCATAGAATCAGTAACGACTACAGAATAGCTCCGAAAGAAACTACAAAAGAGTACAATTCTGGCAATAACTACCAAGGAGCAGCCACCATTGGTAGCCACTAAAGAGTAGCAACGACTAAAGAGTAGCTACTGTTGGGAACTACAAAAAAATTTCTTGTAAGAACCCCAGAGTATGAAACTACGATTGACTATTCAGGAGTAGGTACTACCAATAATCACTACCATACTATTTGACTAAGACTAGATACTAGTTGAGGGCGACAGAGTATATGCTGAAAGTAACTACTAGAGAGTAACTACCATCAGTGATTTCGGTCAATAACAACTACAGGGTAAGTAGTAGCTACACAAAAGCCGATAAAATGCTGAAAACTAACGAACAAAAAAGGAGTACCTAGGATTAGGAACTAGTATAGAGTGGTCGCGCTTAGTACATATTAAGTAATCAACACAATTAAAAATTACTACAGACAAACTACCATTAGTGAGTACTGACATTTACAAAAAACAACCCTGTAGTTTCATAAAAAGAAGAAGGGCGCGGTTCCAACCCTTGCCAACCGCAAGCCAACTGTTGGCGTAAACTGCGTTGGCCAACTGCGTTAAAAATCTTGGGCATCTCTGGGCTCTGCTCGGCCGTCGCTTAACTTGAGGCGCTGGCCATTCGCATGTTTGCTCCTAGGATGACAGACGCAACTGGGCAACCAACGCTTTTTGTTCCGTGTCTACCCCCAAGTGTTGACTGCCCAATCTTCTCGCGGAGCTCCTCAATCTTTCTAGGGCTGCCTACGCGGACAGCGCCAGGGAATCAAGGACGCGACCGTGGACAAGCCAACGCTGTATATAAATGCGTTATAGAAGTGTTATAAATGTCTTGGGCTACGAACATTGGCCAATGTGAACTCACCAAATATTGTAACTATAGACTCAGACCGCCGTTGACGCGACAACGCGCTATAGCAACTACCCCTCGCAGCAGGTACAGCGAAAGCTGACACCGCCTTGTGCTTGTCGGTCTTAGCCTGCCCCTTCGGCCTGAAGTTTTGCCAAAACTTCTTGCAGGAGAAGTGATGAAAAGTTGTGCTTTGAGGCTCCAACTGACCCGTGCCTGCGCGAATGTCGCACGGGCATAGCGGCAACAACACGCGGCAACACGCCAGACAAATTCTATGTTGACACAGTGTCGTACACAAAGGGCGCGTGCAAAAATCTATTTTACCTCGAATGATCCCCTTAACATGACATTAATGCCATGGTGACGAGCATGGTCGTGAGTTTTGCGGTGTTCCATTTCGCTTTTGAGTCCTCCAGTAGGCATCCAAAAGCGCTACCCTCTAACCACCTGCCACGCAAAACGCCACACGCAAAGGCAATTATGTTGTCGCGGTTGTGCGTCGTGCGTTTGCATGGTTGTGTGTTTGTGATTGTGTGTTTGCGGTTGTGTTTGTGGACTGTGTGTTTGCGGATGTGTTGCGGCTGTCGTTGTGGATCCTGCGTTTGCGCTTGTGTGTTTGTCGTTGCGTTTGCGACTGTGCGTTTGCAATTGTGAGTTTGTGGTTGCGCGCTTGCGCTTGTGCGTTTGCGACTGTGTGTTTGTGATAGTGATTGTTGTTGCGACTGTGTGTTTGTGATTGCGTGTTTGGCGTTGCGCGTGTGACTGTGTGTTTGCGATTGCGCGCTTGCGGTTAATGCAAGCACAACCACATGAACCCACAATGACAAACGCGCAATCGCAAACACAACCACAAACACACAGACACAAACAAACAAGTGCAATTATACACACCACAAACACACAACAACAAACTGTGTGTTTGTGGTTGTGCTTGTGTATTGCGGTTGGGCTTTGTTGGTTGCGACGGTTGCGTATTGCGTGTTGAGGTCCGCGACTGTCCAACTGCGATCTGGGGCTTGCGGTTGAGGTCCGGTACTGCCGTACTGCCCACTGCGATCTGGCCCTTGTTGCAGTTGAGGTCCGGCAGCGCGATCTGCCGCTTGCGGTTGAAGTCAGAGACTGCCCGCTGTGATCTGGCACTGCAGCTAAAGTCCGGTAGCGCCCACTGCGATCTGGCGCTTGCGGTTGAGGTCCGGTAGCGCACGCTGCCATTGGTGCTTGCGGTTGAGGTCCGGTAGCGCACGCTGCCATTGGTGCTTGCGGTTGAGGTCCGGTAGCGCACGCTTCCGGTTGAGGTCCGGTAGCCCTGCAATCTGCCACTTGCGGTTGAGGTGCGAGACTCAGACTGCTGCAATCTGGGACTTGCTGTTGGGGTCTGGGGCGGAGAAGGAGAAGAAGGAGGACGAGAAGACTATCTGTACACCAGCCTATGACAGCCCTCACCTGACAGGTGGGGCGCAAGTGCATAGACAAACAAATCGTCATACATGTATATAAGCGTGCCCTTCGCAGCGCCAGCCTCGACTCTTCACAGCCTAAGCCGCAGAAAAGAAACACTCAAACGTAACTTGCTGTGAGTCAGCTACCTGTGGAGAATTGCGCGCGCTACTCGCGTACTTGTTCTGGCGTCTTCGTCTGCGTTTCGGACTACACACTTTAAAGCTCGTCCACCAAAAAATATGCTCCGTTTGAGGCCCGGCTTGCGTACTCCCATACCTTGCGTACTTCCGCTTTGAGGCTTTGACTTCGGTGAAAAGCTTGGGCTTGCAGACCCCAAAAAAGCAGCGAAAGGCGAAGCTCACATGGAGCAGAAGCGTATAACAAAGCCATTGAAAAAGCATCGCAAGTGGCTTTACACAAAGCTAATCAAGAAACCAAGGCGCCCGCGCAAGCAACAATAAGCTTCAAACGCTTTAGGTGGGTTAATGAAAAAATGCATTCGGCAACTTTTCCCTCTCAGGGGAGCTGGCGTAGGTCAGGTATCTGAATTCTGGGCGTCAAGCCGCAAGACGACCAAGCTGATTGGAAGCTTTGTTGGTTGTGGAAAAAGCCAAGAGCAAGGCAAGCTACGTACCAGGAAGTCGACGAGATCCTTGCCTGGAATTTCCAAGGCTTGTTTGAAGGTAAGCGTCCCACAAGCTGGGCGGCTTCAAGCAGAGCCTTTGCCAAACAGATTCCAAAACCAAGCTGGACCCGCAAAATTGCGCCTCCCTCACTGGACTTATAATAAGGCTGGTTGGCGCGCAATTGCAACCGAGCTGTGGAACACTTGTCAGCCTAGATGCCACGCTCCAAGGGGCTTGAAACACAGCCAGCCCGCCAAACGTTCTTTCTTGAGCGAGATTCCTGGATGTGTTTGGCCATACAGACCTTGCGTTGACACATTGCACTCGCGCAACCTTGAAGTTGCAGCGCGTGGCTCGGGAGAGCTTCATCACCACATGGTGTCAAGGCGCTTGAAACGGCCTGAAACAAATCTAAAGAGCGAGAAACGGCTAGCCACATGAATGCGTCCATTCTGTCGCGCTTTTAAAAATTACATTGTATCTAAAGACTGTTTTTCGCGGGCAGGGAGGCCAAGGGCGCTGCGCGCTTGTCGAAGAGGGCAGCTCGCGGCACTATATATGGCTGCAGCTACAGGTCAATGATGTTGTGAAATGGCAGGTGACTCCACATTCTTATTTCTGCTACAATGTGGCTATCTGCAGACTTCAAATAGAATTCAAAGTATTACACATATGCTCACAGCTGGGCTCATCAAACACCACGTGCGAAGGGTCATTGACTTGTTTACCCGCAAGTATTTCCTTGGCTTTCAGCTGAGGGTAAACCAGTTCATCAACACAAAGGCTTGAAACATAGCTGCAGGAGCCGTTGATTGCGCGGCGCCGAGTGAGCAACTTGCTGCGTGAAAAATCAATTGCGCTAGCGCTAGATTGAAAAGTTCAATCTTCAAAAGATCACTTTTCCACGTATCTTAAGATTGAAAGAAACTCAACCCAATGTTGAAAAATTTAATTTCAATCCAGCCCAATTCAATTGCAGGATTGAAAATTCAGTCTTTGACGCAAAAAGTAATCTGACGGATGTCAAACACGACACGTCGAATCAGTTTGTTCGCTCTCCACTGCAAGGATGTGATTACCAGCCAGAAATGCAACCAGGGCGCGCGGGTAACTTGGAAAGTGTGCACATCACCTCTTCTTCTTTTCGGGCGTTGTAAAATGCTGAGAGAAAGCTGATGGCCGTACAGGCGCAGGCGCTAAAATTCTGGCGTAGAAAAACAGAGCGCGAGCAGAAATGGCAGTTGCGTGCTCACTGGGGAAAACCAACGAACGTGGCTACATGAAATATTCATGGCAGAAGTCAACAATTGCGGGGCACACCAGAAAGCTTGACGGCATGTACAATTACAGACGGGCCTGGGCAGATATAGGGGCCGCAAGACTCCTCTAGACATCAAAGTGAAAGACAAGCTCGCTAAAGCCAAGAGAGTTTGAAAAAGCGGGGTTCGGCCAAACGACTGGTCATAGAGAATCTTCCTGGGATTGCCAGCCAAACGGTCCATTTCACCAAATTGGATGTCAATTCCAAAGTCCACGTTGATAAGCAGCGTAGGCTGATTGGGCTCGCCACATGGACTCATTTCCTTCAAGCGCATTCAGTCATGTGTTCAAGCCAGTTGGCAGATCAGATAGGTCCCTGAGACCGCAATCACAGTGAAGACTTAAGACTGAGAAGCAGGATGGGCGCGAAAGAAGTCAATCGAAGTTCTATTTTGGTTTCAAGCCGTTGCGCATCAGGTTTCAATACCCACCCACTTAGATGGGCCTGGGTGTTAGTAACTATTCAAGGACGTTAGCTAACTTTTTAGACCAGCTAGTACAAAAGTTACGAACTAGTTAACTTGAGTGAGAGCTAACTAGTCATAAATTGTTCAAAGCAACATCCAAAACGGTTTCAACATGGTTTGCCCATGGTCAAAATTTATGATGGTGTTGATTTTCAAAAATTAACTTCTTTTTTCAAGCCTTTCTGGCTATTCAAAAAGAGTAATGTTTCAAGCCTTCAGGCTTGCGTGAAGCAACCATGGGCTTGCCAGGGTGAATTTCAAAATCATCGTTTCACAAAACTGGAAGGTCTCAGGCTAGAGCCCAGGAGGCTTAATTCAGTACACAACCAAAGCCAAAAAGGCTTCATCTAGTACAATCAGCCAAAGCCGCATATGGCTTGCAGGTTTTGAAGGCCGAAACCAAAAGGCGTTAGATTGACGTCACCAGCAAAAGCCACAAACTGGATTTTAAAAAATGAGATGAATTGAAAACAGGTACAGCCAAACATAGCCAAACAATAGCTTTAAAAGTGAAAAAACAAGCGCAGCAAGGACTAGAACTATGGACAATTTTTTGGTAAGGGGGCTGGCGGAAAAAACCTGATGAATAGACTGTGGACAACATGATTTGGTGAAGGAAACTGAAGAAGCACAAATTAATGACAAACACATAGTAAAACTGTCTGGTGTTTTTTTGGTGAGGGAGTTGAAGCAAACGAAATCTGATGACTACAGCTGTGGACCAAAATTTTGGTAAAGGAAATTATGGAAGCAAAGCCGCAGGACTAAAACTGTGGACAATTTTGGGGGGTGAGGGAGTTGAAAAAACGATGACTAAAACTGTCTGGTTATATTTTTTGGCGAGGGAGTTGAAGGAAACAAAATCTGATGACTAAAGCTGTGGAAAAGATAAGGAAGCAACACCTAGTGACTAAAAGGCCATCTTCACGTTCGTGGGGTCAACCGGCATGGCTCGCAGGACAATAATTTTTGGTGACACTCGATTTGATGAAATCAAAGCAGTGAAGTGTCTGACAGTTAGGTTCAGAATTCTGAACTTAAAATCTCAATCCTTACAGTTAGGTTCAGAATTCTGAACTTAAATTCTCAACCCTGAACTTAAAATCTCAATCCTCACAATTAGGTTCAAATTTTGGAACTTAAATCTCAATTCCGACAGTTAGATTCAGATTTCTGAACTTACAATACCTCATTGTGACAAGTGGTTTGAACGACTTAGACCGTTGCAATCATTTTCTGCTAGTGGCTAGTGATTTGCGAGCTATGAGATCTGTTCATGAAACATTATTGTACAAATATCTTTCCACTTTGTACTTGATGTTGCATCATTTGGCAATGGCCATAGAGAGCTTGAGCCTATGTGGTTTGCAGTTGGTCTGTCCCATGGTTTTACTCCTTTGCTTCATTCATGATTTGCAGAAAATTGAACCTCATCTCACTGTATGTCAGTATAATAGCCAAAGAGGCTTTGGAGGCCACAGAAGAAGCCATACTGGCTTTGTCAAACAATGTTCGCAAAAGAGATAGCAAGGACAGCTTTGAAACATGCAGAAATACAATTAATGGCTTTTCAAAGCCAAAACCAAAGCAGAGATAGCCAGAAAGGCTTTGGAGACAATCACGTTACAAAAAGAGCCATAATGGCTTTGGAGAACCAATCAGCAACAAGAGATAGCCACATGGGCTTTGGAGAAAAGCCTGCCGTGCAAATGTACACCTGTTTTTTTACACATGAGCTCTTTGGCCCAGGTGTTGCTAATACAACCAGGCCCAAGTCCAAAATCATTCATTCCTCAGCTAGCTAGTTGTCCAGGTAGTGCCACGGTACCAGCAGTTTAGGTGTCCCTCCCTCTCAACTTACAGGCCCAAATCCAACCATCCCTGCATCCATGGATTGAACATATTGCCACCAGGTTGGATTCCTCAGTTTGGGAAGTTAAGAAATAAATGCAAGCAAGCGCTGGGCGCAAACAACAAAAACAAGAAGTACAAAAACCATTGTTAAACCTCACATCGGTTTCTCAGCCCCAGGGAGTAAGCCCAAGGCATACACCTGGACATAGGTAGACATTGGCAAGGGCTTTGCCATGGTGGCCTGTATGTGAAAGCCAGCTTGTGGCTGGAAAGCCAGCTTGTGGCTTGTATGTGAAAGCCAGCCATGTGGCTTGCGTGTGAAAGCCAGCTTTTGGCTTGGAGTGAAAACCAGTTTGTCGCTCACTGGCTTACAGCCATTAAAGGGATTGATTTGCGCTAGGCATAACTATCTTGCCTTGGCGTTAAGCAACCTTGTGTTGATTATGACAAACATAAACCAAAACATTTTTTGTTACAAAAATGCTTTTGATAAACCTATTTTTTTGTCTGCGCACGTGTCTATGTCAGACCAGAATACATTTTACTATTTGGTGAACCACATATTTTTGTTCATTAACGCAACTTCTTGTTGAACTTCAACCAAACAATTTTTTCAAGCTCATCATTTCACCCAATAAAAAACTTGAACTTTCCAATTACATATCTTTAGCTAACCAGTTAGCAAAATTGAGTTAGAGTTAGTTGAAGCATTGCTAACTAGTGAGCAGGAAATAGAAAATGAAGAAATTTAAGATGTTGGCTAACTATTGAAATTATTTGCGTGACTATCTTAATTGTATTAGGTTTGTTATTTTTCAGCTAGCAGGAATACAATTACAACTGGCTTAGAACTTGTTATCAAATCATTACTATGAAGGCCTAAGACCCTTAAATAGTTGGGAACACCCAGGCCCATCTAAGCACGCCACCCTTCTTAGAATCAATGCGTTATGGAGCGTATGGTTGTTGATACCTTTCTCGCGCGCAATTTGCAGCAAAGCAAATGATAGATCAACTTCTTCTAGAGCCCGTGGCTGAGCATCTTGCGTGTAATGAGTGGTGGATTTTGCAAAGGCATTTTCCGGTGCCAAACGCTCTTGCCAACATTGCTGGATGTGCTCGACCTTCGGCAAAGATTGACTGTTGTGTTGTGGCTTGCGCAACAACAGGATGGCCGGCAACGAGTCCATGGCTCTGAGAGATTGCGTTGCCCAATTGGAGAAGACGAGAGCTCAAACAACAATGCAAACACAACTGCGTTAGTCACGCCAAACAAGAAAATAAAGATGCAAGGATCGACAAATCGAAAAAGTTGGACGCAGCTCGGAGAAGACGAGCAAAAAGACCCATGGATTCAAGGTGTTCTCTCTGCAAAGAACGCTGCTCTGAAAAAAAGAAGCGCGCAAAGTTGGGGAGCGCACGTTTGTAGCAATGACCCTTGCTTGCAAGACCTCACTTTCGCTGGCGGCAACAAGTTCTTGTCTCTGCAAGTGGCCAGCTTGGAGTCATCAACATCAAGATCTGATCTAATAGGCGATCTATGAGGAACGCTGCAATTGATGCCCCCCTTTGCCTTCCCAGCTTGCAACTCACGACCTACCCAAACAGCCAACCACCTTGATGGAAAGGAAGGTCCTGGGACCAATACGTAAATCCTGCCACGTGGAGTGCAGCGCCCTAAAATCGCCCATGGACGCACTTGGGGCACTCTTAAGGAAAATTTTTATCATTCAAACTTTTTTCTCATGATATTCAAACTTTTTTGAATGCTTGTTAAGCTGGCTGAACTAAAGATTTTTCTTTTTTTCAAAACTAGTGACTAGCACATTTGCATTCAAGTTTGCTGGTAGCAGCGCTGAATTTCTTTGCGTTTGCCATCAATTCACACTGCTCTGCTTTCGTGCCATGGCTGTGCTTCAGCGACCGGACGGGCTCAACAAGCCAAACAGCTGAACAGAAACACGATGAATTTTCTGTAATTTTGTGGTGTCAAAAGTGTAGAAACACTTGTGTTTTTCCTGGGAGTCCGCCTACTACCTGGTTAGGCGCCCTGCCAATACAAAACCCGAGTTTTAAAAACTACACCGACCAATGACCAATAATGCTACCAGTGTGGAATTGATGGCAAACGCATAGAAATTCAGCGCTGCTACCAGCAAACTTGAATGCAAATGTGCTAGTCACTAGTTTTGAAAAAAGAAAAATCTTTAGTTCAGCCAGCTTAACCAGCATTCAAAAAAGTTTGAATATCATGAGAAAAAAGTTTGAATGAGAAAATTTTTCCTTTCTTTGCTGTCAAGAAAGCAGAGCCCTTCGTCAGCGGCTCAGAACTACTATTCCCAGCTTGGCTCCAAGAGGGGCGTGGAGGTGAACATGTTGCGAGGACATTCTGAAAGAAATTGCAAGAAGCAGGCTACCCTTGCCTTGGCGGAATCTTTTCGGCAACACCGGTAAGCAACCCAATATATATATATATAACGCAGGGCAAGTTCACAAGGGAAAGGTGACCGATGGTAGGCACGCTTGAGCTTGTATGCCAGAGCGACTTTTTTGTTCCAATCAACCGACACACGCAGAGAAAAGACTTGTCCGTGATTTGCAGCTTGGGGCCAAAGCATGGACCTCATCCAACCTTCATAGGCTACAGCCGCTACAGAAAACGGATGCACCGCATCGCGCGGCAAGCCAAGGAAAGCCTTGCAGACATCAAGTTGCAAAGGGTGCTCACACACAGTCACCCAAGTCGTTCACACTGAAGTCCCGATCCGTCAAGGGCAAATGAACGACCAAGCCTTCATCCTTCAACACTTGCGTGACCTTGCCAACAAGAACCAACTCCCCGCGCATTGGCCCCACACGCCCAAGTCAAGCGATGCTTCTCAAAGCGGCCACAAGAGAAGCCCACAACTGACCGTGCAAAGCAGCGGTGGCCCATTCGAGCAAGGCATCATCCGACAAGTGTCCTCGTCGTAGATCATGCCCCATCTTGGCCTGAAGTCGGAAGAAGTGAGATGTTTGACATCAAAGGAAAACAAGGACGGTGTAAAAGGAGCTGTTTGGCCCAAAGTCCTTCAGTTCACAGGCCCCCGCAAGCCCCGCGCCCCTGCTGCCTGTGGAAAGGGGTGTGGTATTGGTGTCCATAGAGCCACCTTCCCTCTACGCGTTAAATGCGACGAACGCCGAGTTCGTCCGCTCTCTCCTCTCGAGGACTTTAATCGAACGAGGGAACTTCTTCCACTTTGTTCTCGTTGAAGAACGAGCTCGACATGTTTCCTCTTTGTGATCTGTTTCTCTTCAATCGAACGCATTCAATGACATTCTGTTGTTTCTCGCTTTTCCTCGTTCTCGTCTATTTTCTTGTCGGATACAAATCAAAAGTTCGGATCTGAGGATTTGTTCGACAGTTGTTTTTGACGAACAAGATTTGTTTGCTGTTTTTGTTTCAACCAGTTTGCATTTTTTTTCTGAATACTGAGGTCTCGTCTCTGTTACTTTTTTTCCGTCTTCCAAACCTGACATCAAAAGAACACTAGTACAAATTCAAACGTACAAGGCCAAGTCAGTGCAACTCTTGTCAGCTGCTATCTCAGATTGGGGCTCATCCACCTCTTCATCATCACTATCCCATGCATTCCGGTCATTTGGGTCCTGTCAATGGGTTTCAGGATTCTTTCTTCAACTGTTCAAGGTTCGCATCTGGGAACACCAAGTGGAGTTCACCCGAGTTGCCCAAAGAAATGAGTCCTGCCGGTCAAATAAGCCACCACCTCTTCCTGCGAATGGCAACGCGATGCAAAGAACTTCTTGCAGAATTAAGTCTAAGCAAAGCAACTAACCAGAATCCAGAAAGAAACAACAAACTTCTCAGTGGTCTATAGAAAAAAGGAAGAGACAACAGGAAGAAAAGGTCCAAGGCAAACAAATTGTTGAAAGAAAGTTTCTGTTTATTCTCTCCCTTGAAAGGAAGTTCAACATGCAAACATGATTGCCTTCATCCGCTGCTCTCTGTTGCTTCTCTTCCTGCCAAACAACACTATCAGGAACTTTCACGTAGCCCTTGATCTCGTGCAACTTGTCATTCTCCAGACTCCAGGCCACTTGACTTGATTCGACTCACCATTGCACACTCTTCCAGCCTCAATAGCTCTCTTCCTTGGAGATATCCGACCCACAACGTTCCGCAAGATTCAACTCGTCACATCAGGTTGAGTTCCAAGGCATTTCCGGAGATGGTTGCTTGCACCTTGACAGGTAAAAAGGGTTTCCCTAAAAATCAGCGTGCTAGTAGCTACTAGCTACCTCGGCCTTAAACTAGTAGTAACTCAAAATCGTATATATTTCTTAAATTGAGCAAATTAATTTTCCCTAAAAATCTAAGGACTTAAATGATTAGTGCGAGCGCCTGTTCAAGAAGGGGGGCTAGGGGAGCTTCCTTGCAGAAGCGTGAACTATCCTGCGTCCTAGGTAGTAGCTTAAGTAGCTACTAGCTACCTCTAGCTAACCTACATCCCTCTTCTACCGGCCTACCCCAAAAACATGTGTTGCTATATTCAAATAAATGCAAAGTTTTGCGCCCGAGGTTGCGACTGCATGCAATACATCGCTCCGCCTTCGTTCTTGCTAAGGCACCTGATAGCCAATGACGACGGCAAGGAGTAGACTGCTACGACTGCTACAAAACAAAGCAAACTACAGTATGTGTAAAGCAAACTACATTATACAGTATACAGTATGTGAGTGTGTTTTTTGAATGAACAAAAACATCTTGGACATCCATCCTGGTTCTGAGGTCCTGGCTCAGAACAGCTCCATGGCCCCATGCTGATCCTGGAATGTCGCACCAATTGCCCTACTTGATTGAGCAAAACATGCACAGAATAAAAGAGAATGTCTAATAATAGCAATGGCCCCCAACCTAAGAGCAATGGCTTCCAGCCAAAAAAACCAATGGCCTCCAGCAAAAAAACAATGGCCTGAAACCTAATAGCAATGGCCGCCAACCTAAGAGCAAATGGCCCCCAACCTAAGAACATTTGGCCTGAAACCTAATAGCAATGGCCCCCAACCTAAGAGCAATTGCTTCCAGCCAAAAAAACAATGACACCCAACCTAAGAGCAATGGCCCCCAACCGGAGAGCAATGGCATCCAGCCAAAAAAAATTGGGCCTCAACCTAAGAGCAATGGCCTCCAACCAAATAAGCAATGGCCTCCAAACCAAGAGCAATGGCCTGAAAGCTGATAGCAATGGCTCCCAACCTAAGAGCAATGGCCCGCAATCCAAGAGCAATGGCCTCCAACCTAAGAGCATTGGCTTCCAGCCAAAAAAACAATGGCCTCCAGCGAAAGAAATGGCCTGAAACCTAATAGCAATGGCCACCAACCTAAGAGCAATGGCCTTCAGCAAAAAAACAATGGCCTCCGACCTAAGAGCAATGGCCTCCAGCCAAACAAATATATTCCGGCTAAAGACCCCAAACAGTGTGTGTGAAGTCATAAAGCAGAAAGTCTAGAGATCTAGACGCGTTGGGGTCCAGAGAGGTGATGGTGGCGATCAAGTTGGGGAGCGTGGCGACGGTGGCGGTGGTGGTGAGTGAGATGAGATGAGATTGTGGGCTGTTCCAGCTTGTTCCACAAGGCAACAAGTGCCACGGACCTTTGCTGACCCTTTAATTGTGGGTTCTGGCGCTGTACAGTGGCCAGCGCATAGTGAGCCATCGTCTTTGGGTCACCTTCTCTCCATAAAAACTCTATGGGTTCCGGACTGCTTCAAGCCCTGATTGACTCAGCACCACATCAACCGCAACTCCCACAAAGTTGGCTAAACCCTGAAGGCGTCCCGGCCATCGGGTCTTCTTCAAGTGCCGGCGCTCGGGATCCTTCTCAATCATCACCAGGCCTCCTATTCCTCCGAAGAAGTCGATCACTAGGACACTCTGCGGGTCATCGAGGTTGATGCCTTTTCACCGCATACCTCATCTTGCTTCTCTTGCGCAAACATCTCACGCACCCCCTTGCTCGTCAGCGCTTCGAACCATATACCGATCCTCCGCCACTCTCACTGGCATCCCAGATAACTGTGACTCTCAGCGGCTGGCTGCAACCCGGATCTCCCCCCACTGACTTCGGTCCCAGTTGGGTGGGGACTTCCCCATCTGAGATGTCTTTCCAGAGGTAATCAAACATTCCGAACAGTGGCCTCCTGAACTGCACCTCACGCCCCACAAAGATGTGGAGCTTTCTCTTGCCTAAGAAGCCAAAAGCCTAGAGACAAAGTATCCAGGACTCGCATCGTAGAACCCTTCAGGAACTCTTTCCTTCCATGCAACGACCACAAATCCGGAACACTATCACGACGTATCTCACACGCCCCTAGCAACCCATCGCCCCCACTCAGTGGAGAGCGCGCAGCTAGTCGGCGGTGATGCTGGAGGAATCCAAGTGCTGAGGCCCACCCCACGGGCAATACAGTTGCCCCAATGTAGGTAAGGCCCTCTCTCTCGCGCCCCAAGCTCATCCACGACACCTGCTCAGCAAATGTCATCATCTCTGCCCATCCTCGACGGAGGGAGGGCAAAGAGGTAGAATCCTGAGACTAAATCAGCAGCGCTCATTTGCACCACTAGGTGGGCCCGTGTCAGCGTGCTTAAATACCCTTCCAATACTTTCGTTGCAGCATTTGTACCATGGAAATCCATGATCAACCTGAGAACGAGCCGCTCATCATCCAGAAACTTGCCAGGCTTCACCACACCAAAACTTCCATTGACCAGCGGTCTTCCTCATACCTTCACTGGCTCCGGAACTGCCTTGACCAGCCCTCGCTTGCGCAACTCTCCGGCCATATATCTTCTCCCATTCTTCTCGAGGCATGAATGCGGGGCGCCAGGAGATCGTCTGACATCTCGTCGTTTGACATCTCGTCTTCAGGCAATAGGTTGATTTTTCCCGAGTTCTCCCTGCTCAATCAAGAGCACCGACGCTCCAGAGCCCTCAGGTGGTAGACCAGCGGGGATTTGATCCAAGGTCAGTTTCTGCCCCTTTTCGACGACCTCTCCCTCGTATGAAACTCTCCCATTTCAGGAGACCTAGGGACCTTTGCCTTTGATTCTGAGTTGTCGTCCACAAAAGATTTGACTAAGCGCACGCCCCTGGCTCACACGAATGCTCCCGCGATGAACCTTCGCTTGCTTGCCGCCTCCTCCTATCCACAGGAAACTTAACATCGCGTGACGGAAAGCCTTCTTGTCTGCGTCTCCAATCTTTCGATATAGTCTCCTTTCTCAAACAATCTCTTCATCTCCTTCTTGCTGTCCGTCCATAGCAGCAGTACGCAAAACATCGCGCTGTCTTCCAATTTGCCGTCGTCAGACCCCGGCTCACCCAAATTTGCTCCACTTCTCATACAAACTAAAGGAAGAAGGCCGCCCGACTGTGCTATACTCAACAATCCACACTCCTCAGCCTTCAACACGCGATACAACAGATCCAGATTCTCTCTCAACAATACCTTCAAGATCATCAGGCTCACTTGCTCCCCTTGCCTCTTATCGGTGTCGGGCTTCGCTGGCACGGCCTGTTCTTTTTCTTCACTGGATTCGCTTTCGCTTTCCGAGTTTCTCACATCTTCCAACCACATCTGTTGTTCTGCTTCCCTTTTTCGTTCCATGCTCGCTTCGGCCCTTTCTCGTAGGAGCACTCTTCGTTGTTCTCCTCCATCTCCTGGCGACCTAACTCTCTTGGCGACTCTTCGAACTTCACCTGGCAGGCCTTTTATGGACTCCTCATTCTCTATTCCGGAACACGGGATTCCCCTTCTCGGGCCTCCCGCCGCCTGCTCCCTACTTGGTCGATTTGTTTTTGCTCATTAGCTCCTTCAATTTTAGGCTGGCGGCTTCCATCTTCCACCAGAGGTTGACCGGCTGTATAGCTCACTTTGGCCAAGTGTCATATAGAACCCCTGTGCTTGTATGAACACTGGGCTCAAAACAGTACCTCAAAATAGCTTAATGCTACAACATCTCTGGCGCTGTGCAAGTCATTTTTTTTGGACATGCCCGGTGGCTGTTTTCATGTCTTGCAAGAGTCTTGCAGTCAATTTCACACACAGTATGCAAAACAACTTGCAGCGTGCATCTGTGAGGTGCAGGCTCAATGGTGTTTGTTCAGAAGGGTTTGCAGGGTCAAGCCTAACATTTTTCGCGAAGCATGTTTGCGACAAACATACGCATCTATACTTCACATATATATGTATGTATATAGATATACGTACCAGGGTTGGCCAAAGAAAAAACTTTCTCACCCCAGAGAAAGACCAGCACCGTCCATGCACCAAGTGTGACGAGTGGGAGCTGCAGCTTCCTGGGTTGAGGAGGCGCAACTCTGGGAATGTGTGAGTGGGCACTTGAGTTCAACTCTGCCACAAAACCCTTTTAGCTCAAGCAGACCAGGGTTGCGTAACAATGAACCAAAATTGAATTGAACAATAGGCAATGTAACATGCACAGGTGGAAACTGGTGATCTGACATAATCAATCCACTACCCTGTTTGGTGCCATGGGAAAACGCTCGCGGATACAAGCAGAGGTTCGCCAACAATTTGCAGGACGAATTGCAAGACGGTTGTCAAAGAAGCTGCGTTCTGAGAACCACCAGGCTCGAATCCATGGAACAAACAGGTTACTTCCGCTGGGATCCTTGAAACGGAAGGACGTTACAGTCTGACGCCACGCTGTAACCGCTGGTTAGCTTCCTGTGCAGTCTGACGCCACGCCTGCATCAGGAAGGCAAATCTCCAGAGGTGGCGATGCCCATGACAGCTCTGACCAGAACTTCAGACGGACGCCTTGTTCGTGTAGAGTCCTGAGCTTCAATCCACTTCGTTTCATTCTAAAGTGTTTCCACTGAGGTTGGAGCCCTCACTGAGGAACAGAAGGCTAAGATCAGTGAGCTCAACTGTTCTTCAGTTCCTATTGAAGAACGCAGGGTATGGTACAACGCTTTGAATCGTAGAATCGAGCGGGGTGGTCTGAAGCCAGAAATTCTTGAAAAGTATCAGGGCACCTCAGGATCATCAAGGTGGGAGATGGTCAAGGCCTTCATGGTGGACCCGGACATGAACTTTGGATGAAACTGTTTCAATGTTCCTTCAACAGTTGTATTTTTGTGAGAGTAGACCTGAGGAATGACTTGGAAGTGGAGGCTTACTTCATTAAGCTCAGAGCTTAGTCGATCTTTTTGCACTGCGCCTTCCAAAAATATCCTTTGCCTCATTGCCTCCTCTCTTCAGGGAATCGGAGCAGAAAACCGAAGACATCTACGAAGAACTTCCACTCTTTCGCATCCAGGAGAAGTATGGGGGGAGTGAAGCTGGGAAGCCCCTTGGCTATACATAGATCACATACTGCTTACTATATAGGAAGGATGTGGTTGGTGAATGTTGAAGCCTTAAATGACTCCTTCCAGTTTTCCAGTGTTGAGGCAGTACATTGCCCACATCACGTCCAGCCCGGTGCCAAGTTGCAGTGCATCTTCATCAATGATCCTTGGCTGTGCATGACCCGAGGCCAAAAGGGAAGGACTGACAAGCAGTTCCCTGACACACCGGAGTTCAAAATCTACAAGTGCTTCAAGACTTTCAGATCCACAGGCAGGGCTCTGTGCTCTGCAGTCGTTTGCTAGCTACAACCATGACAGGTACTGACCTCACACGTGGTGGGACCCGAACTCGAGCGAGCGGAGTTGTAAAATCAGAGAATGGGAAGAAAGCCATTTCTGAGATGATCGACAGCTCTGCCAAACTTCTGAAGGGTGGTGTGGCTA